AAAATAGTTAATAATTATGTAAGCTAAAAATACTATGAAAACAGGGGCTTGTCTCAAAGCTTGCGGATGTTCACGTATAGGAAGTGTAATTTGATATTTAGAAGAGACCAAAAGTCCCAATTTCTGGCAATCATCAAACTAAAAATTTTAAATGAGACTTGTCAAATTTGGCATAGTTTCTGGCAGGTAGTATCATTTAAAATCTTAAATATTTTACCGAAATCTTATAGCACTTGAAAATTACCACTCAATGTCATTCAGTCAGACAATGACAAGAATTAAAAATATAGTGAAGCTTGAAAACAACAAGAAATAAATAAAGTCATGCCAATGCCATAGACTATAAGCAATCTAAAAATTATCATTTTTTTCTTACTTTAATTTACCAGTAACTAAGAGCATCTGATTCCATTACAAAAATGAGAACTTAAGCAAACATGTAGAGTACCTGATAAAGCTTAACAATATGAAACAAACTTGCTCGTTTATTCTGGAGACAGCGTATCAGTCTCTCAATATCAGAAATTCTTTTCAAATGCTGCCTTAAATCTTGCCGAAGAGCAGTATCCTCCACAAAGGCTTGCACTAAATCCAGCCTACTGTTGATTTCATTTACATCTAATAAAGGTTGTTTCAGCCACATGTGCAGTAAACGTTTACCCATTCCAGCAGTACAAGTCCTATTCATGAGGCCAAACAAACTAAAGTTTTTATTAGCATCAGATTTACTCTCCATGACATTTAGTGCCTTCATGGCAGCAGAATCTAATCTCATGTAACTGTCAAGATTGTATTGTCGGATAGTATAGTTTCCGTAATTGCTCTCATCCGAAAGTAATTCTACATAGGATATTATACAACTGAGAGCTCCAGGTGCAAATTCAAACCCAGCGACTAGATCTCTTACCAGTTCAATAGAACCTTTAACAAGCCTACTGAGATCCTGTACCAAGTCTCTTCCTTTAAACTCATTTTTCTTTCTTTCAGTTACCATCACACCACACCTTGTCATTGCATCATTCAAGGATCTATATTCACTAGATTTGGTGCTCTCAACAGGCAAGAGACATTCCTTGCAGCCAAGAGCAACAAAAGCTGACTCCACATTTGTGAAGTGACTATCATCGAGAAACTCTGTCAATCCAAGCACTCGTGTGGTAAGATTCACATAGCCTAGTCCCAAAGTGCATCCATTATCACGGAAGTTCGGAAATAGAGCAACAACCACTGGAGAATCCTGCATTTCATTGTTCGCAAACAGAATATCTTCAAAACTACCCAGATTTCCCGGGGTTCCACTTTTCACTAGTTTCCAATTTGATCCATTACCCTCATACAATTCGAGAGTATGATCAGTTCTCTCAAGAAGAAGGTCACGGGCCACTGTTTCAAACATGTTTTTATTCACACTAACAGTAGAAATGGCATTCGATCCACTTCCTAGCTGGCGTAAAGCTGTTGTAGTGTGGTAATATGTCTTTGCAATGAAAGTTGCATTCTCACCATGAGCAGTGTAATAGTCCTGAATGAGTGACACAAATTTAATTCAGAAATTGAGATCAAGCAGTGCAAATGAATTACTAAATCCATAAATTCTGGAAGAAGCAACTGAGCAAGGAAAACACCGAGTACATTAATTTATTATCAGTAGCATGAAAGCCTGTAGGGCATATGAAAATATAAATTTGCCTATCTAGTCAGATAACAAACAAAAAGTATGCAACCACTTATACCAATCGAAAGAACCTAGGAAAACTAAACTGGTGAACTACTGAAAAATGAAATCATTTGTGAAAAAAACTTAGTAAAAACTAACATAAGCACAATTTCAGCAAAAAATAATAATGAAGAGGATGATGATGATATGTCAGCACGTATATATTAGCAAGATAATTAGAAAGAAAGTACAGATACCATCACTACCAGTTGTCAAAGTTCAGTCCCATTAGTAGTTCCCTTGATTATAACACTAACACCTATCTAGAGTGCAGTTTGTACTATATAGCTTCCTTTCGCATTATAGGCATGCACTTCCATCCAAGTTCCATATTGCATTCAAAACACACTATCTATCATCAAGGTGCTTTCTTGTTTTTCTGATCAAGATTTATGGCATCTCAAGTTATATATTAACAGCACGCAACACAGATGTGCACCCAGAAGACTGGAAGAGGACTCACCCGGCGATCAAAGAAGCGAATAGCCCTAGGGTCCTGCAGAAAAGAAGGGAAAATGTATTTTCTTGAAAATTTTCATAACAGAGCCCAACATCTTGCCCCCACCCCCAACCCAAAAAAGGGGCGGGGGGGGGGGGGGGGGGGGGGGGGG